TAACTATCCGAAATAAAGCTCATGCCAATGGCCTAAGTGGTCACCTTTAATATTAAAAAAAAAAAAAAAAAAGAAATGGCTCTATAGCTTTGTTTGTAGGGACGTAATACTGGCCTTTGTAAAATTTTATCCAAAACTGTCGAGCAGTTAGGTCTGTGCATATATTTAATTTTCTAATAATAATTATAAAATTTTATTACCTATCGAAAAATCTTCGTTAATCTATTTTATTATGTGACCACACTTAGTTTTGATTTACATAGTACACCACGCACCCCAGCTGTTCATGAGAAAGTAACCAAAAAACAACCCACATATGGGCGGAATTTGTGATGTTAGTGATTCGAATTTAATAATCAACATTACATTAAAAATTTTCGCTCATATGTTAAATAGTAAAACTGATTACTTATAATTCGCAGATCGTTTGCAAATTTGACCAGAGTTATAAGTAATCTGTTCCACTATTAGATTACAAACAAAATTAGCAGAGACGTATTTCACGTGGGCGTATTCGAATAACGCGCAGGGCAATTAATTAGCGCACAGATGTATACGGTAATAGTAATATGATATAAACCTATCGGCTCCAAAGTTTGAGCCGAGCCGTTTTTAGAGCTGATGCTTTATTAGTAGGCCTGGAGCTGAACCGTTAGCCGGCATCACTAGCGACGTAGCGATGGGGACCACATAGATTAGATTTACATAGTATATATCTATATATTGATTGATATATTGGAAACTTAATCGACACCACGCGGGTGTACATAGGCAAACAAATTGTGATAAACAAATATCGGTAAATTTAATTTCGGCCGAAAATTATATTACTGTAACTCATTTTTATCTCCGAAAATTTCTTGCCGATAAAAACAGTTGTTTAATATACAAGGCGGGTCAAGCTGACAAACACCCCGAACTTTATATGGCCTACCCATTTCTTGCCCTACTATAATGGGGTGGTCTAAAAAATAAGCATTGGTAAAGTGCTCTAAAGATGGTTAATTTCCTTTTAAGAGTTTGTATTACCTGCATGGTTATGGACCCTCATTTCTTTTATGGAAAAAGATTTAAACATGCAGTTGAATTTCATCGAATATTTTATCTTTGCTTGTTAAAGGTAAAAATGAATCAAATTTTCGTCTCTTTAGGCCTTTTTATATTGCTAGGACTTTTGCTTTCCAGTTTTCCCAAAGACCTTGGTGATGTGCCTCAGCAAGAAATTTCGCGCTTTACAGGATATAAAGCATGGCATCCTAAAGTAATCGGTCAGTATATATAACTGTATATTTATTTAATGGTGAGGGAAAGGAAATCTGATATTCTGCGACCTCATTTCATCATTTCATCATATAGGTTACAGTTTCCAAATGTCAGATGCGATGACTTTTCTTTCTTTTGTTACGACGGGAGCCGCCGCTTATCTGTCACTAAAATGGACCGAAAAGCCGCCACCTAACAAGAAATATGTGTCGCACTTAATAAAAAATGGTGTTAAAGTGTCTACATTAGCATTCAATCGAGTCATTGCATACTACATCGCAATAACCTTTATTGCTGTGGCCGCCTATATGATACTGGATGTTGGCAAATTATGGTCTGCAACTGGTGTTTTGCATAATGTATTTGAAATTGTGATTATGTTGATGTTACATTTCGGTGGTAAAATCAAGTCTCATGCGGTATTTGCCTGGGTGGGAGCTTACGTTTCGATAGTTTTTTCTTTGAATGTATGGCTCGAATGGCCACAAGATGCGCTTTGGTTCAAATTTCAAGGTGTGCAGTTTATTTAATATATTGCAAAGGGCTTGAATGTAATTTAATTAAGTTTTTTTTTAAAAGGCCTTTGTCTCGACTATTCATTGATTGTACTGTTCGTACGATTGTATTTTACAACACGTAAAAAACTCCGCGACGATGAATCTGAAATTCCTCTTACCGAAGACGATATAGTCCAAACAACAGAACAAGCAACAGAGCTTGATTATGACTTTTACCCAAATACTGTCCATCATCCTTATCAACTTTGGTTATTAATTTTAGCGTCTGTCGTTCACCTTATTGGTAATATTGGTAATTCTATTTGGGTGGATAGTGGTTTAGCGTAAGTATGAAGTTAAAACTTGCACGTATGAATCCTGTGCCAAATCCTGTGGCGCAGATCCTATTAATAAATTCAAAAGTTTTTTAAAACTTCTAGCGATGATTTCTCAATACCGTATAAGCGCGAAATAACGCGCAGGGGCGTTATTTTGAATAATGGCCCGAATTAGACTTAATTTAAGCCAAAA